GTGTTATTGTGGTTAGGAATGGAAACCTGTGCAGTAGGGTAATTCTTCGAGCTATTTTGCTGTTTCATCTCCCTGCTAAATACAGTTGCTAAAGCAGCAATACTATCCTTTTCTCTAACAGCACACCTTGCATTTAACTTTATGAAAGGTAGGTACTATCTCTTTCTAATGTCAGAACACAGATTTCTCTTAAATGCACAATACCTTTCCACAGTACTTTAAAAAAAAAAAAGGTGCCGGAACTCACACACGTCATACAACCTGCCTTGCCTATCCTACAAGGTTCCATCCAAAAAAGGTGCCGAAACTCCGTTCCGGGCGTTCTATGAGAAAAAAAGCCCTGCCTTTTCAGCTGATAATATTTTTCATAGTAAGAGGTAAGACAATCCTTCCCGACCTTCCTTAGTGCCCTGGATTTTCTGCTACCTTCTAATTTTAAAATGGGATTTTCTGGGATAACTAAAGAAATGCAGCTGAGGTATATCTTTCCTGTTCATTTGGATAAGCCTGTTGATATATTACTTTTCAATGATGCTCCGTTTTTTATGAAGTTTTTCAATGGCAATGTGCATTAATTTATTTATATCAAAATGTAGTATGCTCATGATAAACGAAGGTAGATCCTAGATCTTTGTCCAAAAGTGTGTTGTTTTTGTCTCTTTTAGTTTTAATGGTTTAAAGAACTGAGAGCAGGTTCTACCACACTCACCAAGGTCTTATTTCTCTTCTACATATACAATGAATCATACTCTTATGTTTCTAGCATGTAATAAAAAAAAGAATGGTGCATACAATCCACCTTCCTTTAAGGCTCTCAGAGTAGACCTATATAGATGTTACATTATGACATATTCCTAAGTTTGAGATTTTATATTACTACTTCCACCACTTTCCCCATTTGGAGATAGTGGAATTCTGTATTTTTACACAGTGTGTATCCTATGTGTTATTTTCAGTTATACTGACCAGCAAGAGGTATAACATTATCTATTTAGCCTATTTAGAATTTCTCAGATTTGTCATTATTCATTATTTCTCATTAGTCTGTGGGGTTCAAGTCCTCTAACAGGAAATGCACTCACAACTATGTTGGATGCACTCATAAGCATTTCAGATGCTTATATATAGTATATGAGTTTTAGGAGTTATCCAGGCCCTAGTGCTCAGTGGTGTATGTAGTATCCATCTCTCTTTCTGGTAGTCTGTATCAAATGTTAAATCTGTGAAACACTGCACTGTACTTTATAATAGTTATCTAAAGTGCAATGATCCATGAGTTCAGTTCCTGTAATTGTTTGTGAGGATGACTTTGAGAGACGTGAAAAAGCTGTAGATTAGACAATGGGCAGACAAATGGCAGCTGAGTCCTCAGAAGGAAGATGGTGGTGGGGGAGTTTCTCAAAAGAAATACTCCTGTAAAAATGTAAAATATAAAATGAGGGGTGACAGATGTTCTTTCAGACATGAAAAATTTTATTAACATAATCTTACAATAAATCTAAAGCACTTCTGGGTGTGTTTTTTGTTAGGACTACCTTGCAAAGGTGACAGTTCCTATCACAAGTTTTGAACCCCACATAAAATAACAGCTGATCACTTACATCTTATGAAACTGATCATGTAATGTCTCTCCATATGATGAACTAATAGTCCTCATTCACTGGGACTGTGTTCAGTTCACTCACATCCTGTAAACTAGCATCTTTCTTTTCTGTATACAGACTGTGTCAATTAATAAATGCACAAATTTAACTATGAAAGTGTTAATTCAGTTATTTTAGACTTTAATAGGATGCTGTCAATTGGAAGGAGACAGGGTGATGTCTTTATTGGATAGAGGACAGATAAAATATGAATCTAAAATCTAGCACTTTAGAGCCCTGAATGTGTCAGTCCTTTCTCTGTATACTTATTTTATTCATACTGGTTTAATTGAAATTAATTAAATAGATACCCAAAGAGGGGAAAAATAATTTCATAGGGTTAAGCCCTTAATTCAACTACATAGGTACACTATATAAAAAGCCATTGACTATATGAGGCACCAGTGGGACACTAAAAGGTTTGACATGGAAAACAATGTGGAGGATGTGGAAAGAAAGATTATGTCTGTAGTGCATAACTAGGAGTTTTAGATCCTTCAAAAAATACTATGCTGTGACATCATTCATCAGTTGTCCTGGTGGCTGGAGCTGCCTTGTGTGGTAATATAAGACCATCTCGAGGGTCAAAGGTTTCCCTCTTGTGAAAGGGACAAGCAGTGGAGGAGGCAAATATCCTTTAACTGGGACAGAGTCTGCATATCTTCTCCTGGATTACATTTTTCACTATATATAAGAACAAAACTAATATGTTTCTAACATACTTTTCCCAGAGAACCAAGAAATACTTTTGAGCAAGAGTCATATTTGAAATCAATAGCCATAGTGCCTGGAACATTTAAGAATTACAATCCTATGATATCTGGATTGCAGCTAGTTAAGGGAAAAACCCTCTTGACTAGGCACCCACAGCTCACTTTAAAGTTAAGCTCATATTAAAACTGTTATTTTGAAGGACACGTTCAGCAGAGATTTGCAACTTTCCCATATGCATCTTTTTTGTCCCCCCCCCCCATGCCTTTTGGTCTTAAAAGTCATTCCTAATCAACCAATACAATAAAACTGAAAAACCAACATAGATAGCAAATAAAGCACAAGGAGTATTCTGGTAGGACCATGTTTCATTTTATTTGGTTGGCAAGCATACAGATGAATGATTATCATTTTTCGTTGTAATAGTAGGCAAAGGGAATGGGATCATACAGAAACTACATGAACATAGGACTTTATTATTATTATTATTATTATTATTATTATTATTATTATTATTATTATTATTATTATTATGGATCATTGCACAGTCAGCCAGATGTTCAGACTAGATTTGGCATTTTGTCTATCTATCGAGTCCTTACTCAGGACCTGGGATAGGCAGATGTAGATGTTTGATGGTATTACAGATATCGTCGCAGGATGGAAGCAGTTCCTAGTAAGGCCGCCTTTTGCAATTGACTAATAGCAAATTTGTTATTATTATTAACATATTTCTTCCCCTGTTAGTTTCCAAATTTTTCTGATATACAGTTTTCTGCCTTAGCAGAAGACTAGCTGACTTTGACTAATTTTAGAAACTAAGAAAACTACTCATGATTAATACATGGATGGAGAGCTCTGTGTAAATTATAGTGTTTTGTGTTTCGAGATTCGAGGCATTGAAACACGACACATTGTAAAGCAAACTTCTTTATTTCTCCTTAACTCCACTCCAAGCAACTGCAAAACAGGCATGCAGGCCTCTTATAGATTTCCAACCCCCAGGCAGTCCAGCCAATAGGAATCCCTCTTTCTTCGCACCTTGCGCATGCGCATTAGTCCGCACCAGCCAGTCTGGTCCCAGGCAACTTTTAGGTTGCCCAGGACCATTTGCATCATTTCTGGGCCTGCTAAGTTCCCTCATCAGGCCCAGGACACAACATAGTGCTTTAGGTTAAACTGTGGCATTAAAAAAAATATCCCAGAGAAAGGCAATAGCAAACTGTTGAGTCCTTGGCGGAAAGCAGACACGAGAAGCAGTTGTAGTTCTCAGGTTTTCTTTTATTCTGTGTTCAGCTTACAGGTGAAGGCTTCAGCAACGCCCAAAAGCTCCCAGCCTCTTATATAGGCAATTCCCGGGTCAATGTGTTACTTTTCCCGCGCCAGCACCCGCGCATGCGCACAGGCGCTGGCGACAGCCTGTCTGGTCCCGGGCAGCTTGCACCTGCCCGGGACTGCCTGCAAACGCCCCGAGCCCGTTTGCAAGGCTCGGGACATAACACCCCTTTCCCCCGGGCTAAGACTACTACCAACATACAATTATTTCTTGATGCAGTGTTCTACTCCCCAGTGCTCCTACTGTTTACTGGCTTTTGTTTAGCCAGCAATGTTATGTAATCCTCTAAGTACTTAGGAGATTTCCTTGCTCTCTGTGACCTTCTCAGCTCTGGGTTTCTGACAGGTGTTCCCTGACTGAAGGGAGACGTGAGCCTGTTCTCCTTATCTTGCCTTGGTGCCTTCCAAGGACTGTGCCCCAATGCCTGGCCTGCTTGCTTGCCCACTGGGCTCGTCAGGCCAGGGCTTCTGTCACTTTGTGACCTGGTTGACCTGCCTAGCTGTAGGCCCTCGGGCCCCTTGAAGTGATAGCCACTGCTGGGCGTCTCTGTAGAACCTCCTAGGTCCGTCCAAGACCTGTCAGGAGGCTGTCCATCCCTAAACCCCGTTCTGTGTCCGGGCTCGTGTGGGTTTCTGTACCTTCCCAAAACTCAGTTACTCCCTGATTTGGGCTAGAGGTGTTGTGGTCGGGACTTGGTTCCTCGACCACCTCCCTGTATGTTTGACCCCCTGTAAGACTTGGGGTAAGGTCAGGCCAACTCTGGGGATTATGTGCCAGCTCTCTTGCGGGGTATGATTTATTGGGATGCTCCCGGGTATCCTCCCTGACTGGAGTACTGTGCTGTGCAGGTGAATAGTGATTGTACCCCCAGGGTGACTCCCTGGCTGGAATAGGCATGAATGCCTGGTAGTTGGATAGGCTCTTAGAATTCCTATTTGGGGCACTCGCGGAATCTTGGAATGGGCCGTTTGTGGCTCCATCATTGGAGGTGGGCAGCAGCTCGTGCCCCTCCCTTTGCTCTAAAGAGTCCCCCTCCCCCCTGGAAAAGACCCAGGAGTCTCATCTGGAAGATCCCGCCTAGGGCGGAGTTGGTCGATGTGCCGACGCAGGACACAACCGTTGTCCAGGGCTACCTCGTAGGATAGAGGACCTGTGACCCTGGAAATAGAAGCAGGGACCCATGTATGACCAGGCCCGTAATTGCGAGTCCAAACCGGGGCACCCACAAGTAGTTGTCTAGGTGCCCTAGGATGTGAGGTAGATGAAGGCAGTCTGTCCGGATGCAACCGGTCAAGCTTCGTAGTAAGTTTGCGCCCCCAGCGAAGTTCAGCTGGGCTTCTCCCTGTAGAAGTGGACGGTGTGGTGCGGTAAGAAAGGAGAAAGTCAGCCAACCTGTGATGCCAGTCCCCATAGGTGAGTCTTTTCAAGGCGTCCTTTGTGATGCGGACCATGCGTTCAGCCATACCATTGGTGGACGGGTGGAAGGGTGCAGACGTGGCATGACGAATCATGTTAGCCTGTAAGAAAGCTTGGAATTCGGAGGAAGTAAATTGAGGGCCGTTGTCAGACACGATGACATCTGGGAGCCCGTGTGCAGCAAAAATCCCCCTCAGTACCTGAATAGTCTTTGCAGTGGTGGTGGATGAGACAGGTACAACCTCAAGCCATTTTGAATGACTGTCAACGAGGACCAAGAAGAACTGGCCCTGAAAGGGCCCAGCGTAGTCAATGTGCACCCTAGACCATGGGGACTGTGTATCCTCCCATCTATGCACAGGAGCTTGGGGCATCTCTGGGCGAGAGCGCTGGCACAGGTGGCATGCATGCACCTTAGCCTCAATGTCCTTATCTAAACCAGGCCACCACAAGTGGCTGCGCGCAAGGGCCTTCATGCGAACAATGCCAGGATGACCCTCGTGGAGGGACTCTAAGATCCTAGTCCTCATTGAGGTGGGAATGACAACTCTGTTTCCCCAAAGCAGACAACCCTGAGAAGTGGACAACTCGTTCCTTTTGGACCAGAAACTCTGAAACTCAGGACTAGGGCAGTGCTCAGGCCATCCAGACAAAACCCAAGAAAGGACACATGAAAGTGTGTGATCTGTGCCTGTTTCAGCGGCAACATCCCTGGCATTCAGAGGGGACTCGGGCAAGGCTTGGATGGAAAGAATGTTGACAGCTGGTGCAGGATCAGCTTCTACTACTGGCAGGAGCAATCTACTGAGGCCATCAGCATGGCCCATTTCTTTCCCAGGCTTGTGGAGTAAGGAAAAATCATATGCAGACAGAAAAATAGACCACCTAAGCATTCTAGGGGAAATGATTTGGGGAGTTTGTTTACGTGTGGTAAACAGTCCCAGCAGAGGCTTATGGTCAGTGAAGACCGTGAAATGCCTGCCATACAAAAAATCATGGAATTTTTTAATTCCAGCAACAACAGCCAGAGCCTCCCTGTCTATCTGAGCGTAGTTGCGCTCAGCAGAAGACAGTGTTCTGGAGTAATATGCAACAGGAACCTGAGTTCCATCAGACCTGAGGTGGCTCAGGACGGCTCCTACCCCGTAAGGGGAAGCATCACAAGCGATGCACACAGGAAGGGACTCATTGAAGTGTGCAAGTACACTGTTAGAAGTGAGTAAGGCCTTGACCTCATTGAAACTAGCCTCATGTGTTTGTGACCACTGCCACACTGCTTGTTTGTCTAATAGCCTGTGAAGAGGCTCAGCTACACTAGCTTTATGTGGAAGAAAGGAATTGTAGAAATTCAGGAGGCCCAGAAAGGCCTGAAGTTCGGCCTTAGACTTTGGCCTAGGTGCTTCTAAAATGGCAGTTAGTTTGGATTCAGCAGGGTGAATCCCAGCAGCATCAATTTTGAACCCCAGAAATTCAGTAGAAGGCACCCCAATTTTGCATTTGTCTTTTTTGAGCTTGAGGCCTGTTTTCCTGAACCTTAACAGAACAGCCCTTAGCCTTTCAGCTAGAATGTGTGTGGAGTCTCCTGCAATTAAGACATCATCAAAGTAGGGGCAAACCCCCGGTATGCCCCGTAGTGTGTTTTCCATTACGCTTTGGAAAATCCCAGGAGCGACATTCACTCCAAACTGTAGCCTTTTTACCTTAAAGGCTCCCCTGTGGGTCACAATAGTCTGAGCTATAGCAGCATCATCATCAACAGGCAGCTGTTGATACGCTTGAGCTAGGTCAAGCTTTGCAAAAACGCGCCCCCCCTTGAGGGAGGCCAGAATATGACTGACCACAGGAACAGGATAGGCATGTTGCTGCAATGCCTTATTCAGAGTGCATTTGTAGTCAGCACAAATGCGAATGTCCCCATTTGCCTTTAGAGGCGTGACAATGGGGGTCTCCCAGGGACTGGAATCAACAGGTTCTAGAATTCCCTGTTGGATCAGTTTGTCCAACTCAGTGTCAATTTTACTCTTTAAAGCAAAAGGGACCCTTCTTGCTTTAATTCTAATGGGAGTGACAGTGGGGTCTAGTTTTAAGGACACAGGGGTCCCTTGAATGTGCCCAGCTGGGGGCTGAAGACATCTGCAAATTCTTTGCAGACTTCCTGTAGGTCAAGTGTTTGTAAGCTGTTGAGCCCCGTGACGTGTATCCCCAAGGCTTCAAACCAATCGAGTCCTATGAGACTCGTTCGTTCACCCCCTACTACTAATAGGTCTAGTGGACCTTCAAAATTCTTATACTGTACGTTAAGGGTGGCCTCCCCCTTAACACACACTCTCGAATTTTGAAAGTCTGTTAACACAATGTCAGAAGGCCTTAATTTAGCCTGAGTTCCACTGCCGGAACAAATCTTCCTAAATGTATGTAAGGATATGATTGAAAGGGCAGACCCCGTGTCTAGTTCCATAGTTAATGGAACCCCTTGTAGCTTCACCTTGAGTGACAGCTTTTTCTTGATGGGCTTGTGTGTGCCTGTCCTGAAGATGCTTCTTCGCGAAGCGCAAAAACCTACCCTATTCTGGCTGGGGACCCTGGTACCTTTCAGGCGCAGTTCTTCCTGAGGTTGTACCTTTCGTCGGCCCAGACACACAGCTGCAATATGTCCTTGTTTTCCGCACGCCCGGCAGATAGCGGAGCGGAACTTGCAGTCGGTTCTCCTGTGGCGACCTCCACAGCCGATGCACTTGAGGGGAGCTGAAGAGCTTCCTTTCTGATTCTCTTCCTTCGCAGGGTGGAGGCGGTCGACTTCCTCGTCCGGATCCTCCTCGGAGTTCCCTTGGACGTCCTCTTGGTGCACGGATGCAACATCAGGACTGTTCCTGATCGGCCGCATGTTCTTGACGGCGCCGCCTGCTGCTTCTTCTGCGGTGACTTCTCTTAAGGCATCTTGGAAGGACAAGTCTTCTTTGGCAAAGAGCCTCTGTTGTAAATCTCGATGCCTTAAGCCGCACACGAATCGGTCCCTCAGTCGTTCTTCGAGGTCCTTGAACTTGCAGTGCTTGGCGGCCTTTCTCAATGCGGCGATGTACTCTTTGGCCGACTCTCCGGATCGTTGATCCCTCTGCTCGAAGGTGTGGTGCCATGCGATGACGGACATCTTGGGCTGGAAGTGCTCCTTCAATAGCTTCTTTAGATCTGCGTAGCTGACAGACTCTAATGCAACAGGTGCTGCAAGGTTCTCTGCGATTTTGAAGGCGTCTTGGCCGCAGACACAAAGCAGGGTGGCAGCCTTCAAGCTATCTTCCCTCACTTGGTTCACCTTGAGGTAATTTTCCACCCTGGCTATGTAGGAGTCCCACCGCTCTGGATGTGAGACGTCGAACTCCGAAAGCCTTCCAACCTTTGCCATCTTCAGGAGACGGGTCTATCAGCCAGCCTACCCCCGAATGCACACTGGATTGGTGGGTAGCTGCCGAGTCAACTCCGTTCCGCCGCTCAGGACTCACTTGGGTAAGCTTACACCTCTTCCTTTCCAGACGATGTAAGGCATCCCATCCTCGTTGCCAGTGTTGAGTCGTTGGCGGAAAGCAGCTTGCACCTGCCTGGGACCGCCTGCAAATGCCCCGAGCCCATTTGCAAGGCTCGGGACATAACACAAACCACTTCTGGCAAATCAATAATAAAACTATATGGATGCTGTTATGTCCTGAGCCTGCAAAAGCAGGCTTGGCACGTTGCATTGGTCCCGGGCATTCCAAAAGCTGCCTGGGACCCGACTGAGTGGCGCCAGCCTTGCGCACATGTGCAGGGCATGAAAACGCTCCGCTACTTGTTGCCAGATAAAGAGTGGCCTGCATGCCATTTGCGTTGTTGGGGTGTTGCTGTTAAACAAATAAAGAGCTGTTAACTACACAATGAGTCTTCATCATTCGCCCATGATCAAAGGACTTAACACTGGCGATGAGGATGGGATGCTTTACAAGCTGAAGAAAAGAAAGTTTTAAAGACTTACCCAAGAAGTCCTGAAGAGGGGAAGATGGCGTTGGAATCAGCGTCCCAGCCTGCCAGTATAGCGTCGCTGGAGGGTGAGCTCGGCTGAAAGACCCTTTCCCCAATAGAAGTTGCAGAGGAGCGAATGGTGAAGGTTGTAAACTACGGGATGGCGAAGATTGGTTGTTTATCCGAATTTGATGTCTCACACCCAGAGAGATGGGAATCCTACGTTGCAAGGGTGAAGAATTACTTCAGAGTAAACCAGATTAGAGAAGATGGCTTGAAGGCTGCAATCCTGTTGTGTGTCTGTGGACAGGAAGCTTTTGAAATTGCAGAGAACCTGGTGGCCCCTGCACCTCTGGAGTCAGTAATGTATACTGACTTGAAGAAACTGCTGAAGGAACATTTCCAGCCCAAGTTGTCTGTTATTGCTTGGAGGCACACATTTGAGCAAAGAGACCAGAAGGCAGGTGAATCTGCTAAGGATTTTATTGCGGCCTTAAGGCGAGCAGCCAGACCGTGAGTTCAAGGATCTGGAAGAGAGGCTGCGAGATCGCTTTGTATGCAGTTTAAGGAACAGAGACTTACAGCAGAAGATTTTTGCAAAAGAAGATGTCTCTTTCCAAGATGCTCTATGAGAGGTGACAGCTGAGGAAGCAGCAGGCAGGGCAGTAAAGACTTTGCGGCCCACCAGGAGCCCTCCAGAGGCAGCCACCGTCCATCAAGAGGATGCTTGAGAAGGCTTGGAAGCAGATCCTGAAGAAGAGGTGGATAGGCTTTACCAGATAGCTGAAAGGAGGCAGAAGGAACATTCAGACAAGGCCCCAGCAGCTCTTCAATGCTTCGGGTGCGGAGGACGTCACAAGCAAGCTGACTGCAGGTTCCGCTCCGCCATTTGCAGAGTGTGTGGCAGGCAAGACCACATTGCATTCATCTGTTTGGGTCGCCAGAAGGTCCAACCTCATGAAGAATTGCGTCTGAAAGGTACCAGGGTCCCCAGCCAACATAGGGTGAGTTTCTGCACATTGCGCAGGAGTATTTTGAGGACAGGCACACATAAACCCCTAAAGAAGAAACTGTCCATTAAAGTAAGGTTGCAAGGGGTTCCTTTATCCATGGAGTTGGACACTGGGTCTGCTCTCTCCATTATTTCTACTAACACATTCAAAAGGATTTGCAACAGCAGTGGCCTTCGAGCCAAACTCAGGCCATCCAATATAATACTCACAGATTTTCAGAATTCTATGGTGTGTGTTAAGCGGGAGGCCACCCTTAAGGTACAGCACAAGAATTTTGAAGGTCCCCTAGATGTGGTGGTTGTTGGGGGTAAACACACGAGTCTTATTGGACTTGATTGGTTCGAGGCTCTGGGAATCCAGGTCACTGGGCTGCATCATTTGCAAAC